AAACATGTTAATAGCTGGCATCAGAATAGTTTTTTTCTTTTTTGCAGCACATTGTTTGAACATGGTCTCATATGTGCTAGGCAAGCATTCTACAACTAAGCCACATCCCTGGCCCTTTAAAAAATTTTTGAGGCAAGGTCTTGTTAAGTTACCAAAAAGGACACATTAAAACCTACTGAGAATTTTCTAACATCCTAGCATTTTTATGTAAAGACAAAAGTAAAATTTGTAATTGGGATGTTTTTCAAAATCCCTGAACAATTTTCTGTGACAGTCTTGTTAAAAGAGGCGTAGAGGGTGGCCAGGTAGCTCAGTGGACTAAAGCACCTGCTTAGGCAGGTATAGGGACTGGGGTTCGATCCCCAGCTTGCCATACTGGCCCCACTTCCAGGGCATGCTGAGGGCGACTGAGACTGGGCGTGGTGACATGTGTCTGTAATACCAGTGCTTGGGAGGCTGAAAACAGGAGGATCACTACAAGTTGGATCTACACAGTGAGACCCTGTAGGCCCTGTACAAAATACATTAAACAAACTCCCTGTTCTTGATGTTACCCATTCACCGGTGTTGGGAACATGGAAGCACCTGCTCTAGCACATGTGCATCAAGTGCTCCGCCACCAGGCTACAAAGCACTCTAAGCCCCTCCACTGACTTCCTTCACTGACAATGGTCACAAATTTCAAATATTTAAAAAATGTCAGTAGTGTGCTAATCCAAGTAGAGACTGGAACCATCAACCACACTCCCATCACTTCTGTTAAGCCTCATCTGCATAGCACTAAAGATTTAAAAGTTTATGCTCAGCTGGTAATTCTGATTTAAATGTATTGAGTGAAGGTTTTCACAATCTGGTAGAAGCCCAGTAGATGATGTTTAAGGCTCTATTACTGAAGAATCCAGAACATTTCTACCAGACCACGTAGAAGCTGAACTGTAGAAAACTGGATTTTAATCATTAGAAGGCATTTCTCTTACAGCCATGTTTACCACTGAATATTACTGCCAGTGTGTTATTTTATCAAAGGAAGTATCATACTAGTTACTTGCGATGGGACCTACATAACTTGTTAGATCATCTCAGTGCCTTTCAAAAACAGGTTATGGGAAAAACCAAAGCTAGCGTTTTTGTTCCATTAAATATAAAAGCTTCTATTTTTATGTTTCCTCTAATAAGCTGTCACACCTGCAAAGGACAAACACACTCAGCCTGCCATATATTTGTTTTAATGTATTTTAGTACAGGGTCTACAGGGTCTTGCTATGTAGACTGGACTCATAGTGATCTTGTTTTCAGCCTCCCAATTGCTGGGATTATAGGCTTGTGCCACCACCATGCTCAGTTTCACTCGCCATCTCAGTGTGCCCTGGGGGCGGGGGTGGGGGCGGCACAGCACCCTGGGGATTGAACGCTGGCCACTGCGCTCTGCCTTGAGCTATCTGGCCAGTCTTAGGCTGCCACATTATTTGAAAGAGAAAAAAACTTTAAAAGCAAATCTAGTCACTTGGCTGTAACACTAAAACTTACCTAAAGCCTTTATTTTGCATAACAAGTTTATTTTTTAAAGGCAAATAGACAAACATACATTTATGCAGATTTTAACTTCTGTCCTAGATGTGCTGTTTTCAGTCTCTAAACGTTTTTAGTTCAGTAATCATCATCTTCATCTGAGTCCATTACTTTTCTTCTGTTGAACTAGAAGAGAAATTAAATGAGTGTCAGAATGTGTGTAATAACTACTATATTTTTAGTAACTTAGTAAACAAAGTGAGAAACAGAGGACAAAAACTTTATTAGGCCCCCCAGTGTATTCAGCCTTCCCAAACTTCCCCATGTTACACCATGAAACAGCTGGGAGAGGTCCTAATACACAACAGTAGATTTACAGTTAACACTTAACATTTAAAACAGCAATGTCTTCTTTTGTACATGCATTTTGGGAAACTCACTTTAACTGTTGTTTTCTTTTCTGTTTGTTGGCTTACTTTTTCAAGGATTTCTATTAAACCTTGTTCTGAGACCTAGGACATCAGAAAGAAAAATGTTTTTATACAAAGTCTAGGGTGTGAGAGAAGAAGTCACCAGGGAGAGAGAGGTAGGGGAGGAGGTTCAAATTACTGGTGTAAGTTCCAAATAGAAGTGACTTTGCTATTTCTCATCTAAGATAAGTGATAATATTTATTAAGCAGCTTCTAACATCTTTATCACCACCAGCAGACAATGTAAACCACATCTGTTACTGTATTAAATGCCAGGCTAGATAGCACCTCTGCCCATGAGATACTGGGGCAGAGATGTCTCCCTCAAAAGATCAACTAGCTGTCTCCCCCAGTGTAAGGGTTCCTAGTGTGAGGGGCCCTCCGAGACAGATGGGCCTGTGTGGATGTGGAAGGGTGAGCTTGCCACAAAAGACTATGCCCCTAACAGCATTACATACATAATAACTAAAGCATTTTAGGGCTTCTTCATTTGCAAAACAAGCCTAATTTCTACCATACTGGTAGAGTTTTACTTGGTTCTACTGACAATCTTTGTTTCCAGTGCAGAACAATTTCAGCTATGAGCCTAATAGTCACTGGCTCAGAGAGACACCAACAAGGTTTCACAGTAAAGCCAGGAACAGAACAGAGCATTTTACGAAAGGCAATTATCTTTTAGAATTTATGGCACATATGACTTTTTCTCCCTTAAAAATTTCTCCGTAGTTAAACATTCTGTAATAAATTACGGATTTGACCTAGTGAGGCCATGTTTTGGATAAACATGGATAATAAAAGTGGATAATAGGTCAAGTTCCCCCAAGGAAGTGGAAGCCCAAGCTTACCTTCCCACCCAGCTGTCCGTATCTTGCCATCTGTATAAGGTAATTCTCTACTGCTTTTGCTTTTTCAGGCTTTACAAGTGCTAGGTTACTTACTAAAAAAGAAAATGTACAAAAAGGTATCAGAACTGAATGTGTTCATCCCTTAAAATTAAGCACTGCATTTCCAGAGTGCTTCTCAAGCTCATTTACTTGTTCATGGCTCGGCACAGCAGGTGGAGCACATAATACTGGCACCCCTCTTACAAAGGGGAAAATTAAACTTCAGCCATGTCAGTGTCAGGCAGTCACAAAAGTGGTGTAGAGCCCAGAAGTTCCAAACCCCTTACTTGCCTGTTTTTTAATATGTATGACTGCCTTCAGAAAGTAGTTTATTCACAGCTGCCCCTTCTCAACTCAAATGGGCTTTAAGTTATAGATACCAGTTCATGCTGATTTTCATGTCTTCCTTTCCCTTCTTTTTTTGGTGGAAAACTCTCAACACTAAAACTGAGACTATATTCCGTCCCTAAGTCCCCATGCACATCAAATACTGCAACACAGTGACTCTCTTTTATGAGCGGTTCCTTGGAGAATTTAATTGAATTTAGGAGTTTACCTGCCCTAGGAGAATATTTTGGTAAGAAGAGAACTAAGCTGGCAATCTTAATGCTCTAAACATACTTCTAGGTTTATAATCTTTGTATTTCTTACAGATAGTGTGTATCTCAAGTGCTTTTAGGATAAATACTTTATGTATAGATAGCAATAAATGCATCTATCTCTTCCCACTGAACCAACTCAAGCCAGTTTTATGGAAATAAAGAAATGTGAACATGCTTACACCTGGCTCGGGCTGACTGGTCCAGAACTTGAGCTAAGATACCGTTTCTCATTTCTGCTTCCCTACAACAAAACATAGATGAAGTAAAATTAGCCCTAATCTGTCAGATGCCTAGTGAACACACAAAAACAACTCACTCAATGTTTCTTAAGAGATGCTACATTGGGTGTTTTTGCTTTTAAAGAGCCAGTTTTATGTCATATAGGTGAAAATTTTCCAGACTGACAGGAAGCCTCTCGTAGTTGTACTGGAGATTCAGTTCAACCACCGTGACCAACATTTATTAAGTGCCTAGTGTTACACATGCCAGCAATTTGTAGTGGGATTTTAGGCAATTAGAAGGAACAAGCAATTCACTTGTGTAATTTCCTCAGTGGTGAACCCAAGACCCACAGAAGCTATATTAAAGAGACAAAGGTGATAGTAGTCCTGCTAGAACCAGATCCAAAGTTTTAAATACTCTCAGTTCTATTTTTTTGGGTGGAGAAGGGGAGTTAAATTCTACCTCTGCAACTGTCCTACTTACACAAGTGGGAAACTAGTTCATGTTCACAGGGTAGTGATTTCAAACTTTAATTTTTAGAGTAGATTATTCTTTTCATTTTTCTCAAAGCCCATTAAGTAACCATCTAATAACACAAACAGCAGCAGAGATGCCTGAGTTGAATTGCAGTGAGTGCTGGGGTGGGTTGTGCCTATTGCCCATCCCAGCTTAGTGGCTAGCTGTTAGGACTCGGGGAACTAAAACATGTAAGTAAAGGCCATTTCCTCATAGAATCTGAGCATCTCGGCTCTGCCACAATCTACTGACCTGCCTTTTTTTTTTTTTGACATTGGGTCTCACTGTGCAGTAAAGACTGGCCTTCAACTCTACTGCATCCCAGGCTGGCCTCAAACGCACAGTGCCTCCCAAGTGCTGGGATTTCAGGTACACGGCGCACCAGGCCCACCAATATTTAACTAAATGCCCTATCTATGAATCTCAGAATGAAAATTAAAAAAAAAACAAAACCAAAAACCCTTCAGAGGAGAGGTTCTATTAAGAGACCTCAGTCAAGGGCCAGCTGGATAGTTCAGCAGATTAAAGTGGCTGCTTAGACAGATACAGGGACTGGGGTTCAATCCCCAGCTGTGCCAGCCCCACTCCTGGAGTGCACTGAGACTATTGAGACTAGGCATGGTGGCACACACCTGTAATCCCAGCACTTGGGAGGCTGAGAACAGGATCATGACGAGTCTGGGCTGTGTAGTGAGATCCTATAACAAATACATTTTTTAAAAAAAATCTTGTTGAACACTTGCTGTGAGGCCTATAAGCACCCATGTAACTCTTACAAAAACCCTATCAACTACAGTAGTTCCATTGCTGCGCATTTAACTGTGTAAGAGAATCAGTTAAAGACAGAAACAAACACCAGTAGTTGCAATCAAAGGAGTCAAGTGGGGCTCTGCACATTTATTTAATATAAGCCAAAGATACCCTGAGTGACAATTCAAAGGAAGATCACTATGCCAAGAAAACCTTTAAAATCCACACACCTGTTAAAATTACTAAAGAGGAAAAAAAATCCAATTGGCGAAATTGCCCTTCAAAACGTTCCCAGGCCATACCTGTGCTTTGCTTCCTGTTGTGCTGCATCGTTTGGATCCTGAAGAAAAAAACCAAAAAATTAACCTTTAAATGCAGTACAACTACTGGTAATAGGTTACTGGAGTGGTAGAGTCATCAAATAAAAATGGGCTTACGAAGTGAGTGAGATGGTTTCCGCTTCCTTTTTTTGTATTGGGCAGTGAACCCTAGGCTTTCCTACTAAGCCACATTACTACCCTTCTTGTTTTGATACAGGGCCTTATTACGTCGCTCAGGACGGGCTCAACCTTGAGATCCTCTTGCCTCAGTCTCCTAGAACGCTGCTGGGATTAACAAGCCTGCACCACTATGTGCACCTGTGGTTTGGTGGTGCTGGCCATGTAGACGAACGCGCCACCACTCGGCCACACCCCTAGTCCACCCTTACAATGTTTCAGTGAATTTCTAAAGTCACAACTTATAGAAAGCGTGGGCCGGGGATGCGGTTTGGATGGTCCGGCACTTGACAGCATGCTCGAGGCCCGGGGTTCAATTCCTAGTTCAGCCAGCGTATATACAAGCAAGCACAACCTGAATCACTGTGTTAAGAAATCGTATTTACGAGCAAGGATCCCTTCCGAGACACAAAACGGGCCCGACTTGCCGCCGGCGCTTCCTTCGGGACTGCCCCCTCGCTCGGCCTCGGCGCTGCCCGGGAGTCTCTGAAGACCAGCATCTATCTTCGGGACCCCCGCTGTCACTCCCACCCGGAGCGGTGTCGCTCTGAGCGAAGGTTCTCGTCCCCGCTTAGAACTCAGCCGACTCTTACAATACATGCTGTCTACTCGGGCCAGCGGCTCAACCCCACGCTCCGGCGGCCAGAGGAAACCCCGACCCGGCCCCCCGCGCAGCTAGCGGCTGGCGCCCGTCGGGACCCCACGCGGCGCGGCAGGCGCCGACGCAGGCCGGGAGGCCGCGCGCGAGGGCAGACGCCGCGAGCCTCCGCCGGGGCCCGGACCTCCCGGCCGGGCGAAGGAGGCAACCGTCAGCTCACCCCGTGTTTCGCCTGCAGCTCGGCCAGCCTCTGCTTCCTCAGCGCCTCCAGCTCCTCGTCCGCCATGGCCCGACTCTCGCGCGGCACCCGCCGCAGCCACCGCCCAGGCCGCCGCGAACTACCTCACGCGGACCCCACGACGAGGCTCACTGCGCAGGCGCGCGCAGCATCCAGGCCTCACCAATCCAGCGCAGAGCCTCGCCCCGATCCGCTGCCAGGGCACCGGGGAGAGTCACGATCCCCGGATCGCGCTTTGGGTCCGGGAGGAAAGCATGTGGAATATACTGTCTTTGCGAACCCACCTCCTCCTGCGCCGGCCCATGAGTGTGTGGACTTCACAGCTGAGAGAGGACCTGGCTTCTGCTTAGGAAAGATAACGATCTAGATAGATGGCGACAACAAGGATAGTGATTTCTGGGTGCAGTTTGTTGATGCCAACCTCCTAGTATGACCATTTCTAGACAAGGGACCAAGGACTCAGAAAGGCTAAGTCAGGTGATGGAAATGTTCTAGAACTGGATTATGGAGATGGTGGCACAGCTCTTTCAGTTTTTATTTTGCTGAATAACTGTGGTATGGATTGAACCCACAGCTTTTCACTGAACTACAGCAGCCCCAGCCCCACCCCCTTTAAAATTATTTGTTTCTTTGTTTATTTATTTGAAACAGAGCCTTAATCACTAAATCACCCAGGCTGGGTTCATATTTACAGCCTTCCTGCCTCAGCTTCCCAGAATGCTAGGATCATAAACATGAGCCTCCCGGTTAAAAGTGCTCAAAACTGCATCATAAATTGCACAATTCAAATAGGTTAAGGTGGGTGGAGAAAGGAGGAAGTTGAAGAAACCCTGGGAAGGCCCTGGGCAAGCTAAAGCAATCTTGGCGGTTGAAGTAGCTGCAGGCGCCTTCTCCTTAGAGAATGTAAGCTTTCCTCATTGAATGGTTGTAGCACCCTCGTCAAACTTTGATTATGTCATGGTTTATTTGCAGGGTCTCTAGTCTATACTTTTGTCTGTGAACATTATTCACAGTAGCCAAAAGATGAAGCATAGTGTCTTCTTGCCAACTTTTGATTACAGTAGCTTTATTATAAATTTTCAAATTAGGAAATGTGAATCCTCCAAATTTGTTCTTATTAGGGCTGGCAAGATAGCTCAGCATAGTAAGTGTCTACTTAGGCAAGTGCAGGTACAGGTATTCCACCCTGGCACCAAGGGCTGTGCTGGCCCCGCCCCTGGGTGCACTGAGCTGGCCACCCAGACTCGCTGAGGTAGCACACACCTGGCTGGGGTGGCTGAAAACAAGAGGATCACTAGGAGACAGAGCTGTGTAATGAGACCCTGTTCCTAATACATTAAAAAAAAAAGTTCTTATTTTTCAAGAATGTTTTTGCTGTTCAGGGTTGCATACGAATTGTAAAATAGATGCTTATCATTTCTGCAAAATAAATCATAAGGACTTTGATAAGGATTGCATTAAATCTGTAGATCACTTTGGGTAATCTTGACATCTTAATATTAAGTACATGAACCTGGGATTTCTTCCCATTTATCAACTTCATCAATTTTTTTCAACAGTGTCTTACATTCTTCATTGCATGAGTCTTTCACCTTTTCGGTTAAGCTGATTCTGAAATATTTTATTCTTATTTATGTTATGACAAATGAGGTTGATTTCTTAACTTTCTTTTCCCATTATATATTGTAGGTAAACACTGTCTTAGCTTCTGGAATAGCTGAGGTTACAGGCCTGTGCCATCCCATCAAGCAAAGGAGCCTGGTTTTGTTTTGAACCTTTCAAGGGTGCACCCTCAGTGACCTACTTCCTCCAGATAGGGCCCCCTCTCGAGTTCCCTCCATCTTTCGTAGCCTACTAGGACATGAGTCCCCAGTGGCTCCAGCCACTGAAGAGATCTGGTCCCTCATGATCCCATCACCCGCCCCAGATCCTGCCTCTGGACACCGCTGTCCTGGGGACCACGCCCTCAGCACATGAGTATTTGGGCGGCGTTTCATATTCAAACCCTGAGAGTACTTTTGTGTGGCTTCTTGGCATTGGCGCAGTGCTGACTTCATGGAATGGAGCAGAAAGTGTTTGAGGAGGATGGACGTCTCTTCTTCCTTACATGTTTGATAGCTTTCAGCAGTGAAACCATCTGGTCCTGGGCTTTTCTTTGTTGGAAGCTTTTTGAATATTGATTCAATTTGCTTATTGGTTATAAATCTGTTCAGATTTTCTCTTTCTTCATCATTTAGTCCTGGCAGGTTGTGTGTTTCTAGGAATTTGTCCATTCATTCAGTTACCCATTTTGCTGTGCATAGTTGTTCATAGAACTCTCTTAGAGTCCTTTTTATTTTTGTAAAATTGGTCATAATGCTTACTTTTTTATTTGGTTTTATTTGCACTCCTCCTCGCTTCTTCTCACGGTGTTTATCTCCTTCAGTGCTCTGGATCGAACCCAAAGCTTTGGGCATGTACTAGGCAAACACTTGATCACTGAACTGTACTCCCAAGCCCACTCTTACTTGGTCTAGCTAAAAGTTTGTCACTTTTTGTGACCTTTAGGAAAACAAGGGCTTGTTTTGTTGACTTTTAAAATTGTTCCATTTTCTCTTTGCTTTAATACTTTCTTCTCCTAGCTTTGGGTTTACTTTGCCCTTTTCACATCTGTCTGTCTATCTGTCTATCTGCCTGCCTTCTGTCTCTCTGTCCTTGTCTCTCCCCTTTCCCCCTCTATCCCCCTCTTTCCTCCTTCCCTTCCTTCATCCTTCTCTCTTTATTTTGAATTCTTGCTAAGTTATTGAATTGCTCAGGAAAGGCTAAAATTTGTAATCCTCCTTTCTCAGCCTCCCAGAGTGCTGGGATTACGGACCTGTACCATCACACCCAGGTTTTCCCTCTACTTTTTAAAGGTGTTTGTGGTAGGGTATTGATTTGAAATCTTTTTCTTTTTTAATGTAAACATTTACAATTCTAAATTCCTCTTGGCACTTCTTTCACTGCATTCTGTTAGTTTTGGTATGTTTCATTTTCATCTTTATTTGTCCAGAGATTGCAATGAACAGGAAGACTGAAACAACACCCCCAATTTGGAGGCAGATTTATCTACATTGACCAGCACTGGTTGGGATTATTTATAAACTATCAGACCCCAAAGGCTCAGGAAAGGAAATATTTATGGGGCTCAAAGGGAAAGTGCAGAGACAGAGTACTTGGATGTCTTTGATTGGTTTTTACAAGATGCATCATAGTGACCAACTATGTGTCACAGTATCCAGGAAACAGAAACAACCAGACCTGCAACAGGAACTGTCACCAGGGCAACTAACAGACTGGCTAGGGGGCATTTTCTGCTATAAGATATTTTCTAGGGAAATTCTTGATAAACTGGCCTAATAATTTTACCATTTTAGCAGGCTAAAGATTTAGCCTTTAAGGATGGGGGTGAGGCACTTGATCAGATAGAAAGGGTAGAGGGTAACTTCATAGGATTTCTTGTTAAGAATGTATGGAGAGGGTTGGGTCCAGGTTGAGACCTCATCAGGAAGAATGCTCAGAAGAGCCTGCCTAAAGTTTGGTGGCGGCTCGCTCTATCATTCACTCAGAGATTTTGCTGCTGTAGTTCTTTCTCTTCTGTCCTGCATGTCTGGTATATGCCTCTACCAGGTTAATTTTATCAGCCGAATGACCTTCTATAATAATCTCTTCCCTTCCTTCTCTTTTTGTATTGGGAATTTAATCCAGGATCTTTGCACTGAGCTTCACCTCAAGTCCCTTTTTTTTTTCTTCTTCTTCTTTTTTTTTTTTTCTTTTTGAGACAGTCTTGTTAAATTCCTAAATTACCCAGACAGGGATTAAACTTGTGTCCTCCTGCCTCAGCCTCCCACAGTGCTGGAATATTAGGTGTGGGTCACCATACCCCACTATCTTTCTTCTTTAACAACAGTGACCAAACACCAATAAAAACCTATCCTAACATTACAGTATATATATCAAGATTAATTCACAATGAGTCATACACCAACTCCCCACAAGGAGTGTAAACATGTCCTACAAACTGTACTAATAAAAAAATGAAAAAAAATCTAAGAGCAAAAATGATAAAACTTGTAGAAGAAAGTAGGAAAACCTCACGATACAGATTTGGCAGTGATATATTAGTTATGATACTGATATCACAGGCATCAAAGTAAAAATAGATACATTAGACTTCATTGAAACTAAAAACATCTATACATTCAAGGATGCAATCAACAGAATGAAAAGATCCCTTGTGGGAGGGGAGAACATATTTGAAGGTAATACATCTGAAGGAGTAATGTCTACAATGTATGCAAAACTCTGTACCATTCAACAAGAACAAGTCTGATTCAAAAATGGGCAAAGAGGCCGGGGAGATGGCTCAGTAGTATAAGTGCTTCCCTGGCAAGTGCAAGGGCCTGAGTTCAATCCCCAGTTCTGAAAAAAGAAAGAAGAAAGAAAGAAAGAAAGAAAGAAAGAAAGAAAGAAAGAAAGAAAGAAAGCAAGCAAGCAGATCCAAAAATGGGCAAAGAACGTGAATATCTGTTTTTCTAAAAATACACAACAGCCAACAAGCACATGAAAAGATGCTCTAAAAATGTGCTCAATATCTACTGCTCATTAGAGAGATGTTTAATCAAAACTACAATGAAAAAAAAAATCAACTCACAGCCATTAGGATGGCTACTATCAAGAATCCAAAATCTGGAAATGCCCCAGAAAATAAAAATATGGCCAGGACCAAAATATTGGCTATCTGTTTAGCCCGTCTATCTGTCTAATTTTTGGTCTGCACACTTTAGTTGTATAAACCCATTTTAATCATTTAAAACAAATAAAAAAATAAAATCGGAGATTAAAGGTCACATCCTTGAAGCAGCTTTGCAATGTGCAGAGTGCAGTATTAGCTTCAAAATAAAAGATTCTTGTACTTGTTTAAATATAAAGATCTGTCCCTATATTCCTCTCTAAAAACTAGTATGCTATATGCATTCCAGTACATGAATTTCATTGTACTTCATATAATTTTATATTTGGGATGAGGCTAAAACAACAAAATATCAAGTGGTAGAGAACTGTTAATAAAATTTTAAAACGTTGTGAGATCTGATCAAATCAAAATCCTAGATTAAAACAACCCATTTCTGAT